TCACAGCGACAAACTGTGATAGAAAACTCTATAAAGTACTTTAAAACTTTCGTGAAATAGGGTTAAAGGTTTAGGCTTTGCCCTTCTGTCACAGGGCTCTCCACTTCTGAACTGCTGGTAATTCCAAACGGATGAATGTGCACTGTTGAAGGTGCTGGGTACCCGTGTTTCTATCGTCAGGAAGGGAGAGGATAAGTCTGGAAACCATCACTTCCTCTCTAGGTGGTCTGCGGTGGTAAACCCGCTGTGAGGACCCCTAGACTTAAAAAAAAACCTATCAACTGGGGTGACAGCGGGCAAACGTAAAATATAAAAGGGTTTAGAAAAGACGAAAAAAATTAACGGATAGCTGTTTTTTTATATGAACTACGCACACAGGACAGTTTTTTTATTTAAATCTTTTGTGAAAGGGTTTTGTGGGTATGCTTGGAGTGGTATGTGATGAAGGGTTAAAAATTAAAAGTTGTAAAGGGGAAAGCGGGGACAAGGGGGGGGGGGGGAGAATGGTGCTTGTGTGCTCCACCTTTTCTAGACACTTCGCAGACGAGTTTCATCTTGATGGTCTGTAGGAAGTGGCAACACCAGCGCCAAGCTGTGGACTGAGCAACGCCTACTCTGCACTAGGTAAGTACTCATCGTCGTGGCCTGCTTTATTGTTTAGTCAATAGATGTTACGTACTTGGCAGGCTACTTGTGTGGTTTGATCTGGTCCTGATACGGACTAACCTAACCCTAATTCTGTGTATGAATTCAGTGTGTCAAGTCTGTGTCTTTTACGGCGTACATAAATGGAATTATTTAATAAGTTAAATCAGTTATTTTAATACACACACATGTACTGTGTTTAGAATCAACAAAAACATATATATATGTATATTTATTTATTTGCATTATTTTTTCCGTTGATCTTGTCCTGAAACTACTATTGTCCTACTTATATTTTTATTATTTATTTAGTGTTCTGTCTGACGACAGGTCCATATGAACAGGATCCTTCCATCCTTTTCTCGGACTGGGACCTGTTCATATACGTTCTTGGCAGATGATCCAGAAGGTGTTTGCCATTGCCTTCTTCTGTGTGTGAATGGAGTAATTGTTGGGATGCCACGGAGGAAAACTCCGTGTTGCCTAGACCACGGCCTTGCCCAACACAAGTTATAAATTCGGGCACCGCCGAGAATCGAACCCGAGACCCCCAGGATTACAAGGCCAGCGTTCTAACCGCTAGACCACCGTGGCTGGTATTGTGCTACTATAATAAGGGAATTTAAATTTTAAGTTATATTTCACGAATTTTTTTTTGTGTGAGTCTCAGGTTCTCAGGTCATTTGTGTTGTGCCACTGTGAGTTCATCTAAACCAGTGACGTCACATTCAGTGTTTGCTGTGGTCCGCTTAAAAAGGAAGCGACTGTTCTGGTGTTCATCATTTGGTGGGGGAGGGGGGGGGGAAGAGTGAGAGAGATAATAACCAAATATTTTTTTCTAATACGGAGCGCAAGCGTAATATATTTTTCGTTCCCTTTTTTTTCCCTCAAGCACACATAAATTTGAATTTCACTGAAATACATTTCCCACTTTATTAGATTGAAATTTAAAACAGCCGTACACTTATTTGAAACTGAAAGTTTATTAAAACTGGTACATTCAAGGTCGCACATCGTGCATGAACATAATTCGATAAATTCGGGGCAAATAAAACATCGAAGGGGCCACGAATTTGACATTCCTTTTGAAAATCCCTACAAATAAAGTATTTGTAAGTTTAATTATGTAAATATATAAGCTGTTACACTGATCATTTATTTATAATTCTATACGCAATGGCTATGTTTATTATTTTATTTAAGCAAGTCATATCATATCGTAATTGTAGGATAATTTGTCGTAACTAAGTGGAATTAACATTGTTGCATCAAACTGGTGGAATATAAAAGGGCAAGACCATGGAGATCAATATATCTGAAATATTAAATAAGACATACTACGTGTGTTTCAGTTTCAGGATTGAATGAAGCCTCTGAATTGAACAAGCGATGTCTGTCCGACATGACAGTACCACCTGTAATTGGTGTAGTTTATTAAATTATTCTTTTAAAACTGTCCACAGCACACCAATAAAAATGTTTCCCATTTCTTGTGAAAGAACAAAGAAACTTCAATACATTCCCCAAAACACGAGCATCGTCGTCATACCATCAGATCTGTCTTTCCGTTCTCCTCCTACACCCCCTCCAATTTATTTTTACATTATTCCGAAAAGACGTTTCTCTGTAGGCCTACGTGGTTCTTTCTCAGAATGGACCGTAGAGTAGGATATAAAATACATAAACAAGTTGATATATTCCTGCACCCGATATGACATCTTGAGTCTTCCTCTCCCCCACCCACCCTCTTCCAACGAAAGCCTAACCTCACAACCCCCTGCTCCTCTGGTCGGACGCGTTACCTCACCCATAGCCCCCAAATCCTTCTCCCCCCTCCACCAAAGATCCCTCTCTGGTACCATCCTACAGCATCCAATGCCTGGACCAAAGTCGTAGCCATTTCAAGGGTTTTTTGTGCTCTTGATGTCTGTTTGAGTCCTCTTCGTAGAAATATAAATAAGGCTTGAGCCTAACGGCGTGCTTTGTCTGCCCAGGGTGATCCTGGAAGCAGTCGGTGTGGTCTATAGGCTGGCTATATGCAGAGTGCTGAATGGGATATTGGCTCTGTACTGAGCCAACCATCTCAGGACACGTCTGGCTCCCTCTCACAGTAAATCCTCAGTCCGTCTCCGTCTCTTCCCCACTGTCTTCTGTCTTCTGTTCCTCACATTTTCGCCCCCTGGGCCTACTGAGAATAAATGTGGGCGTAAGAATAAACGGAAACCATATTTCGCTTAACGGAAGCTGCCATAAGCAAGTTACTCAAATAGACGCTTATTTTGGACTTGTTACACGGCTGTTTAATTATTTAACAGCTTAAAGTGGCTTTGATATTCTTTGCAGTGTTTATGAATTTTTATTGACACTTTAAAGCCAATGGTAACTATATATACCACCTGCTGTTACAATCAGTAACTTTGTATTTTGTATTTATGTGTCTCGCATGATTCTCAGAGTAAACAGCGATTATTTCCTTAAACAACGTTAACCAGTTGATCTTTGTAATGGTGAAGTGTGGTGTTTTCTTCGCGGTACGGACTGAAATCTTAAATACCGCTATTTAGATTAATTTATGTTACGTTTCTCGTGGGACGGTCCCGGCATCAGAATAAAGAATTGTACGCCCCGCTCAACTTCTATCTTTGCTTCAAAGGGTTAAGAACGAGAGAGAGCTTTACCTTTACACAGCGGGTCAGTGAAGATGTCCTGCGTCCCTAAACCGACGGAGTTGGAAACGCAGACCGCTTCTCCGATAACTGGTCCAGAACGGGTGGACCTCCCTCTCTGTTGCTGGTGTAGAACGACTTATTAAGTATTCCACCCGCGAAGTGATCATTCCGAGCCGACTCCCATCATGTCTTTTCCCTTACAAAATATCGATTAGGGACCTCAGACGTATGTTCGGCTTCCTTGCTACGTAATGGTTTCTATGCACGTAGCAAATATCGACGGAGGTCAGATTTTTTTATATTTTATTCGCTAATGAAGTTTAACGTTTCATAATTTTGTCTGAAGGAAAATCTAGTTATGTCAGTCGCCGCTTGGACACTGGGACCTCACATTTGAATCCTGTTTAGTACGTGGTTGTAGGTCTTCCTTCGTGTCCAATCGAGTATCGTTTCATAATCAATTCCAAATTTTTTAAAAAAAAACTTAAGTTCTCGCGATGTTAAAGGTATCGATTATGGTCTTCTGTTTTCTGTCCACAAGAGCCCACTACCGGTCCTTATTCCGAGTCAGATTAATCCAATCAACGCTTTCAAACTCTGTATCCCTAAGATCTATTTTAATATTATCCTCAAATTCATACAAATATATTCCGAATGGTCTTTTACTTTCAGGCTTTTAAACAAAATTTTTTAAATATTATTTAGACGAGCTTCAAAGGACTAACCAGTTGATCTTTGTAATGGTGAAGTGTAGTGTTTTCTTTGCGGTACGGACTGGATTCTTAAATATTATGTAGACGAGATTCAGATTTCAAGGATTATGTTTTTTGTAGTACTATTCAGCCTTTCTTATAGAAAAAAATGATGAAATGTAAGTTTGTAATGGATGAAGACAATGTCGGGTTGCAGATTTCTTGGTGAAACTGTATCCTCCTCGGATGGGGCAATGCATTATTCATTAGCAGCTGGGTCTGCCGCTGAACAAGCAGGCGGTCAGTGAGGGGGGGAGGGCACCGGGGCCCAATGGCACGACCAGCCCCGCCCCACCCTGTGGTCAGGCCTCTGCGATCGATCTGGACCACTGTGCTACCCACGTGATTGGCTGGACATCGTCCACGTCTTCCAGTGTTAACGCCTTTATCGGATCACATCTCATTGCTGGTACAAAGAATTATGTGGCTTTGGATGCTGCGGAAACCTGCCATCTCTTAATGGCCTTCCGAAGTTCCACAAAAGTTTTTTGTGCTCTCGTCAGTTTCTGTATCCGAAATTGTCGACATTGAATGAAGACAGTTATCTTCATAATCGCTGCCTTGAGAACCTAAAATCCGCCACGCAAATAGTCGTCTTCTCGGTGTAGCCTCACACATGATTTCCAAAGTTTCGCCCAAGTATTTCGCCTCCATCTTCAGGGCTAAAATTTTGTTTTTCCTTTCGAATGTTGCTTTCAATTAGTTCAGTAATTTGTAGATCGAAAACTAAAATGAAGTGTCTCCAGATAAAATAAATAACATTGAGAGGGGCAACGTATGTAGCACGCATAACGGGTATGATAAAAATAAGCACTGCATTTTAGCCCGAAAATTCTCTGAAGATAATATTAAAATGAAATTTAAGAAGTAGCAGGTGAGAATGTGGATTGGATTGAACCGACTTAGGATCTAATGGTGGGCTATTTTTAAACAGGGCTGGTCTGGTGATCCTTCACGTTCTGTAACGGAAGTTGAATATGAAGATGAAGGATGCTCCACGGACATCATTAGTTCAGCTGGACTACTCGGAAGTATACAAATTCTGGTGAGTGTTGGACTGGTTCGCTCGCGGGCCAATTGTTGTCCACCTGCAATGCGGTCATATGCGGTGGGTAGCCTTTTCATACTTACTGCTTAAAAAAAGGGACCGATTTCTGCTGGAAATCATTCTAAAATAAGATGTCTCTTTTTTACATTGGTATAGCTTCTCATATGCCCAGCATCTTTGTGCTCCCAGATGGCGGTAAGAATGATCCATGTCACAGGGTTTTGTCTGTCTGTTACGGGCCTATCACATTATAAACTAAACACTAATTACACTAATACCACCATGACAATTACAATTTGCCCGGATTCACTCGGAGATGTTCTAACAATTAATCATAAATAACATTCTACACTGGTGATGCACACAGTTTTAGAATACAGTAAGATACATCTTGTGGTCAACTTATGTAACAGTTTTGCCTTTTTTTCTCATACTGAGATACATTTCTTCTTTTTCTCGCTGTCTGCTTTACGATCTAATAGAACAATAAATATTCTAACTTCCTGCCTGCCCCTTGGTCTCAGCTGCAGCTACCAAAAACACTGTATCATGATGTTTAAACAAAAGCGACACATGTGGTATAATAGTTTCCAAGACAACACAGCAGTTCACACGTATCGAGCTCAGTAACTGGTATTACAGCGAAGATGGCTGTCTTCTGGGTTGTAGTAACGTGCAGTCCGGTGGTCGCCCTGATGATGGAGGCAGTATGACCTCTGAAACTTTGGTAAACTTCTTCCACAACCCAGAAGACAGCCATGTTTATACACGAAGACGTGAGAACCTGAAATCTCACATCTAAACATCTGTTTGTAATTCACATGGATCACTTATGCTGTGAGTGTGGATAGTTTACTGAGGACATCTCGAGCCGCGCCCCACGGAAATGGAAGGACACACACACACACACAACCGTGCTTTCTGTAAGTTCTCCCCAATAACAGTTTGTGCTGCTCTATAACACCCCCCCCCCCCCACCCCCAACACACACCCTCACTTCAATTCGCAAATTGAGTCTCCTTCACACTTCCACTGTTTCTCACTTGATCAGATGTCTCGGAGTAATGGACCAACTTGATCCAATGGAACCCTCAAGTCAGATGAGCGTTTTCAGTAAAAAGAGGTTTGAAACTTACACAGATCAGCAAACTACGTTTATTTCTCAATAAAATCGGTGTGTACGCGTGTAAAGATGGCTGCATTTGAGATGTTACACCGTGTGTCTTGGTAGAAATTAACTGACGTTTCGGAGGCACTTACTCTCTGTATTATCAAGGCAGTAAGTTCCTCTGAAACGTCAGTCAATACCAGAGTACATGTCGCAAAATATCAGAACGCAGGTATTTTAGATTTTTACTGAGTTTTTTATTTACGTTTTGCCATTGTGGGTTACTCCAATTTTGAATTTTTTTAAATTTTATCAGTCTGTAATAATAAAATGGCGGACGAATGAAATTCTAATGTGGGAGAGACACCGGAATTGGTCTAAGGGTCTTGAAGTGGTGAATAGGTCTTCGAGAAATTGTATAATCTATTAGATATGCATATTGATGATAACTCATAACACTGGCTAATGCTCAGAACTTTGAATTTTATGTCCGACAAATTTAACTTACACGGGATCTGTAAATTACAACACTGTAAACTCAACTCATTAATCCATTGCATAAACTACATTTTGTTTTTTTCGTAATGGGCTTATTTTTCCTAAAGATAACATAAAAACACAATCTTTACAGGTCTGAAATTTCGTGAGTTTTGCTTGTAAATCCTTGTTTCACATTATGATTAAAATGTAAATTATTTAAATTAATCTAAATGTGTATTAATTGCGTATATTTCGTGATCAGCTTCTGTATTACTTGTTTTTTTGTTATAATTAGGAATTTATTATTAATTTATTATTATTATTATTATTAGGCTAATTACTATTATAGAGACGCATATAGACCTAATAGTTGCAGCGATAGTAATAATGGGTCTGATGCTAGGAAAACCATTGAAATTCATACAAAATTATAGATATCATTCGTTCTGTTAAAAGACATATAACGCACTTAAATGACCTTGAATTTTAATAATTTTTATCCATGTTAGTTCTACAGTAAATAAGTCTGTTTTCCGTTTGTATCGGATTGTAAATCGAAGGTGGTTTCTACCCCTAAGCATCCGCAACCCAAATTACTCGTTCGTCTCCTTCATACGGGCTGAAACACGAATTCCTCTGTTCGAGGGCTTTTCTCACTACTCAATATGCAACCCGTGTATAGCAGGGGGTGGGGGTGGGGTAAAAGGGGGATGAGGGTTGGTCGGAAAGTCACGGAGAAGAAAACAAATGTCCGAAGACCGGTCATACCTCTCCGCTGCTGATCTCCGCAAGGCGCTAGTCTTACGGGCCGTACGTAGAGGAATGCATGCACCATCCTCTACGTTAAAGAATGTTATTGGTATTCGGGGACACCAATTTCCAATTTTGTTCTTGCGAAGAGAGCGGGAGGAAATACAGAAAGGAAAAGAAAAGGAGATGCCTTTCTTTTAAAGTGTGTTCTCGTTTCTTTGTACCTCCCTTCCTTTGTACAAGAAGCGCCGAATGGGATTTTTTGTGTGTGGGTATGATTTGTTCTGTGCCTTGTTTGATTTCTTTTATGTCTCACGTGTTGCAGAAATGTATGATCTGGAGTTTATTTATTTTGAAGTACACAAATCAGAATATTAGAGTTGATAAATAAGCTGTAACAATTTTTACGAGCCTTCGTCTTTCTAAATAAAAGTTACTTAATATTATCACTGAAAAAAAATACACTCAAAATATCGCATGTTTTTGTTCAGTTTCTATCAGTTCACATGAAAATATAAAGTAAGCAGGTCCGCATTTGTTCATATTTATGATTTATCTGCCTCTAATTAAAAATGTTATACTGTGTGTTCTGTTTTTGGCAAAACTTATTAGATGCGTGAGATTTGACAGTGTGAAGATAGCTGTCTTCTATCAGACAGAACGGTCACAATAGTCCCGCTGGTAGCTAGTAAAATTCGAGCTTTGTATCTGCACTGTGGGTCCACTCTGTTGATATGGAGACAGAGACCTCAGCAGCATCAGTCAAAGAACGGGAACTCCAGGCCTATTGAAATAGGATGAGTGGCATCTCAAAGGACGCGGTCGAAGGGGCATGAATGTGCAGCCCCGGCTGAGCGTAATATGGGATGTTTGTTTGCATTCTGAACCACGGTTTCCAAGGAATCCTTTTGCAAGCCGCCGCTAAGCTTGCATCTACTTTGCGGTGTGTCCTTCCTTCCTATTCGTCTATTATTCTGCCTAATTAGCTTTGTAAAGAATTCAGCTATGCCGAGCAGTCTTACTGCTCTGTACCCGGGCTCACAATTCATTGTAATAAGGCGATGGATTTTACTTTATGCTTTAAACTGGTGTTTAACTTAGGTGGAAACCCATTTCCTGCCCATCAATACGTACATTTTCCTAATTTTCTATAATAAAAACTATTACAATGAGACCAGCCAAATGCCACATCAACAGGATCCTTCAATCCTTTTCTCGGACTGGGACCTGTTCATATACGTTCTTGGCAGATGATCCAGAAGTGGTTTGCCATTGCCTTCTTCTGTGTGTGAATGGAGTAATTGTGGGGATGCCACGGAGGAAAACTCCGTGTTGCCTAAACCACGGCCTTGCCCAACACAAGTTAGAAATTCGGGCACCGCCGGGAATCGAACCCGAGACCCCAGGATACAGATCAAAATAAATATCTGGTTCCTAATACGAGGGCCTAACTTTGTTTTGGACAAGAATTACAAGCAAAGGGGGTATTAAGTGGGGATTAGATGGAGATAAAGGAAGTGATGTGAAGTGAAGTGTCTTAGTCTCGAAGTGATGAAGTGACTTCAGTTCTTTGGGAACCGCTAGACCACCGTGGCGGTACATCAGAGTAGAAGCCTCTAAATGTTTAAAAACTTTGGATTGTTATGTCGAGATGTCAGTAAGCTATATATCGTATGTTATACGGGACGACTAACGGGCAATTTGTCCACCTACCAGATGGTAGTCAGTGAATATAGAGCAGCTGTAGAATGATATTGAGAAGGGAGAACGGAAGGACTTGGAGAAAAACCTGTCCCATTGCCACTTTATCCACCCCAAATCCCACAAGGACTGACCTGGGCGCAAACCCCGGTCTTCTGCAAATAAGATGCCTGAGCTATGACATGTCCGTAATTTAGGACCAAGAATGCTGTATCCCTGGGGAGAGAGAAAGAATGTCATTTTGCTAGATGATTCTCAGGCTGTGCATTCTCTTCTATCTGATACGGTTAGGATAAGAGCGAAGACGTTGGGATAGGAAGGAGTAGATTCTTGGGACATAGCGAAAATTTTATTTTCTGATTGATACATGGCAAGGTACTGTTTCAAAAGTTAATTATTCTGGTAACCTGTACAGCAAGGGGGTGATTTTGATTAATTTAAATGGTAAGGGCTGCATTTGTATACATTATCAATTTTGGAATTTGGGATCCGTCCTAGAAATCGTATATCGAGATGTCCGGTCGCAGGACCTACCGGATTCATGTTAACTGTAGCAGCCAGCAGTCTGGTAGACAAGAGAATCGTGTAACCTCCCGGGTTTCGTTAACATTTATGTCGTAAGCTTCAAGCAAGTCGTGTATTTAGCTACCGCTGGGATGTAAATTGTAAAAATAGCTTAGTTTTTCTAGTTTTCTTTTCTTCATAAATTTTTAAAAATTTTCTGGGTGTACAGATGGATATTACAACCTGTATTTTGATGCAGGTGTCTTTCAGACTACTGTTTGGAACGGTAACATATGGAATCCTATAGCCATTACTTCCTTTAATTTCCCCTGTGAGCACTGTACATTTTCCTATTTTTTCGGTTCTGCTATATTTTTCCTTTACAGACGCTGATGATGTAGTGTTTTATTGAAGAAAGATTTTGTGGTCTGTTATGTGAGATTAACTTACCCGGAATGTACAGTTTGTTAGGTAGTAACGATGCTGCATTTCTCATTGTCTTTGCAACTCGGAATTTTACACCCACAAGAAGCATTTTCAACACGTAATATACACGCCTTTTTGACTTAAATTTAACTCTTTGAATCCCGACCAAAAAATATTTAAGAATTCAGTCCGTACCGCGAAGAAAACACAACTCTTCACCGTTACAAAGATCAACTGGTTAATCCTTTGAAGCTCGTCTATATAATATTTACGAATTCAGTCCGTACCGCGAAGAAAACACAACTCTTCACCATTACAAATATCAACTGGTTAACCCTGTTTAAGGAAATAATCGATATTTGCATTCTTATCACACCGAACCCATAAATACAAAACGTGTTGTTACTGATGGTAAGAGCAGCGTCGGTCCGAATACCAGCTTCTTTACCGATGGGTTTTTGTGGTTGTCCTCAGAAGTGGCCGTAGATGTACCAAGCCACGCGAGAAGAATTCTGTGCAGGAGCTCGTAACATCGACAAATATGGCCCGTAATGTATTTGTACATCACAGCGTTATTGGAACAATGTTGCATTGCTGGACTGTCATATGTATCGTATGCGTTTTAATGTGGATCAATTCCGCAGTTCCGTTGGCAGCACAATACAAGCTGAGTTTGACGTCATTAGTAGATGGCAGCACGAATCGCACAGATCTTACCGCCATCTCTTAGTTAGACGGGACAAACAGAAATGCATATCGATACGCTTTAAGGGAAGAGACTCTAGTCATAGATCAGAGATTGTGAATAATTTTAAAATTGATGCTAAATAAAAAATCTGATAATATGGACTGGGTTAGGTGGCATAGGGTTAAGATCAGGTGACACAGGGCAAATAGCTAGAAAGAAGGAAGTTTTGAACTAAATTGCATGGGTTCAGTTTCATGTCCAATGATAGGATTTCACATTATCAATGTTGAACCATTTCGGTTCTTTTACCTTCATAGGTTATACAGTAACAAATGAGAAATGGCGGAATGAAGTGGTCTTAGTTTATGTTTAACTTCCGTTCCAGCATTTGCTTACAAAACACATGAAGTCACTATCACAGGAATCAAACCCTGAAGAAGGAAATATTTTGTTGAAACCTCAACTCAAGATGGTTCTAGAGGCAGACATGAAGGCCTGCACTCTAACATGATCTCCATAAAAGGTATTAGTATTCTAAAATTACGCTTCATATAAAGAATGTAAAAATTTCCAGTGTGCCAGTACTTTGTCAGTTCTTTCCACAGTGAACATAAGGATGCAGGAATTGTGAATATATAAATATCATATGCTAACTTGTACATATATTTTATTAATTTAACTCAAGAATCATAATATAAAAACATATATAATATTTATAGAATTAATTATATTTATGACATCGTTTTTAACATAAAGCCCAACTATATAATTATATCACAGTTTTATTCTTATCAATGTCTACATTTTTTGTAGTTATTATTGCCATATTTTCTGGAGTATACGACACACCTTTCTTGCGGAAAATACTGCCTAAAATCCACGCGTGTCTCATAGGTTAGAGATATAGCAGGGCTGTCTTTTTCCTAAAAATTTCCCTCTAAAATATGGGTATGTAATATGATACAAAAAAAACAGTAATTATTTTAACTTCAGCATGTATTTTTCTATCCAAATAATTTGGATATTGCCTTGTTTAATACTTCTTCAGTCTTCTCATACCGCGTCTTTCCGCATTCTGCCATACGTTTCCTACGAGTCTCGGCTCAGCTACCTGAAATCTTCCTCTGCTGATTTCATATTTAAACTTTTATCACATGGTAACAGGACTTAACCGTCTGCATTATGGGACCGATAGCCGGGGTTTAGCTCTCGGTCTAACGGTTTAGTGGTCAGCTGGACCATCAGAAGCAGTAACACATAATCGATAAAGGTTAAAGTTATTTATTTACGTCAAAACAAGTATTAACATTTCAAAATTGGCATCGTGTGGTTTAAGGTTCTCGGTATTTCCAAGCTGCTGCCCTATTTTCTTTTTAATGTTATAATTAGAGTAATCAGATATGTTTTTAATTGATATGTGCTTTTAGTTACTTCTTTAGAAAATTAGTTTTACGCAAAGTTACAACATAATACTTTTTCGCCATGTGATTAAAATACTGCCACTCGACTTTTACGAGAAATTAAGAAAATTTTCGGGCACAAGACCTGTCCTTACGTCTCCAATATGCAAAGTACTGCGGTAATAAATGCATTCACATGCGACTTCAGCAACACGAGGAGCGACCATGATCAGACTGGTTATATAAGAATAATTCTGCGAATATCTGATTTAATTTCACTAGATGTGGAATCAAAGATTCTAAAGAATTTAAACGTGCTGATTCAAGGGCTATCACGTTCTTGGTATAGACCAAAGTTATCACCTCTGTGTTGTAAATATTTCTAAATCCCACGAGGCATCTGGGACTAAGAACAGAGAGAAGAATTTATTAAAAGATCTTCTCAAACAAAATATTCTGAGAAATTAGTTATGCGCAACAACGGAGTCAATATTAAAATAACAACAACAAAAAATCCGAAATTATTTGTAAAATTCTCATGAATTTTTGGTTCGGTGACATCGGTTTGACTTGTTCAAACTCTTCGAATAAATATTAACGTGTCTGTAATTAATTAAATTCCACAGTGCGTTATTATTTTGCATCAGAAACACTGTCTCTAACAAAATTTTGATATTTTCCAAAGATTCATCACCATCCATAATTTCAAGACTACACGACCATGAAATTTTCTCATTTTGAAAATTCATGTGGTTACTATGTTGGTATTTTATTAAGATCTGGAATGTAAAAGTTAACAAGATGAGGTGGCGTCTACGGCTTGCTTTATAATAGATTTTCGTAAAAATTTATCATTTAATATCTACGATATTGGTGTTCGCAAGTGAATCAGAGGGATCAGACAGGCAAGCATATAAGACATTTTGGACAGATTGATACCACTTGTTAAAACAGTTACAGAGGATCTCGGCAAATAAGAGTCAAAAGTCTTACGAAGTACGGCACCCAGTCTTTACCCACATTCCGATAATAGGAAGCATAAAAATGGTTACACATATAATACTATAAAATTGTTGAAAGACTAAAATATACGGGTTAATTGTCCTGGTTGTTTCCTTACCAAGACAAGGTACGCACATTACGAACCTAGCGGGGCTTAAATTCACTCTCGACCACATGTTCCTTTGACTAATTAAATTATGCTTTGTGGTTGATTCAATGATCTATTATACTTATGAAGTATATCCACCTGCTCTGCATAACATAATGTACACTCCTTAATTCAGACCAATAAATTTCAGATCTGAGATAGCAATACGTTCAGCCTGCAGTTATATTTATGCATATGACGTGTGGTTATTTTTGACGATCCAAACGTGGTCAATCACTTCCCCTTCCTGTAACAAAAAAGTGCAAGAGATCTTATACCTCATCAAAAGGGGTGTGACGTGCAAAGTATATTTTATATTCATTATGAAATTAAAGAGTCCCGCGCCATAGCCGCGCGGTCTGAGGCGTCATGCTTCGGACCGGCGATACGGAATGCGCGGTGGTTCGAGTCTCGGGGAAGAAGAAATTTCTCATGAGATTTTCAACCGGTGTATGGGACCGGTGCCAACCCAGCATCGTGAGGAAATTGGGGAGCTACAATGAGTAGCGTAATCCGGTCAGGAAAGCTAGCAATGGCTAGGGGTTCGTCGTGCTGACCACACGTCACCCTATATCTGGTTGGATGATCGTTCACCTCTGCTTCAGCGTGTGAACGTGAGGCCAGCAGTCAAGCTAGTCGGCTTTGGCTCTCAGAGGGCTGTTACGCCACGGATTTAATTTAATTTAATGAAATTAAAGTTTAATTTTAGGTTTTTCAGTGAACGTAAAATACACGTACATGCCTTTTTGTTAATTCCTTACCCAAAACGCATAAAGGAAATGTCGTGTGTTTTCATCTATGTTACACATCCAAAAGTACTTTAAAGATTTCGGTGAATCAGGGTCTAAACTAAAAGTAGCAGAGGAAAATGTAATTTTGATTTGCGTTATCCAAACATAAAGATGATTTTAAACCAAGCTCGATTATGTATGAATTAATAGCATATAGTGCTGAAGGTAAATATAGAAGAATGTTGAAGTAAAGAAGTTTGCCTATTTCAGAGATAGGCAAATTATTTAAACCAGTCAGATTATATATTTAGCATCGCGAAGAAAGCTTTGTATCTTGCTAAACACTATCAGAATTGGTGGTAGTAAAATTCTAAATACGCACCTTGTCAACCGATATCTGTTCAACATATAAGTGCGTTTTGTTGAAGATGCGCATTCGCATGTAGCCATAGTCGGTGCTGCGGAATGCTGACCAATAAGGAAGCTCTTGTATGAATGGACTAATGTCTTCTTTGCATCCCTGAGGAAAACAGCAGAACTTGTGTATCAATAAATGTATATAATATACTGGATGCAAATTACCTCCGATCCTGAGCTACGTCACAAGAGGGAAAGGGAAGATGGTAATGACAAGGGGGAGCTGTACGTGCTACTGCATGGTGGTCTTCCCCTTTCACTCTGTACCTCAGGTCAACGAAGCTCGGAGATATCTTGCTTCGAGTATAAATGATAACATTTACTGGAAAGTTCACATAAAAATTAACAAAATATATTTTAACTATTCACATTTATCTATGTTGAATAAAAATGCCTTTCAACAAGAATATATTTTTAATGGACGTATATCTTACCGCTGATCCAGAGATGATATGGACAGGGGCACCCGGATTATGATACGGCTCTTCGTAGCTTCCATTACGGACTTCATAGTTAAACAGCGGCCACAAACGCTCGTACGAATGCTCATGAGCCCAGATGACTAAATCAACACCATAATCATTCAGTAACTTCTCCAAACCAAACCTGGAAATTTACATATTACAGAAGAGTTAAAATATGGTTATGCAGAGTTGACGTAATTGTTTCTAAATATACAAAGTGCCGATCGAGTAATTTCCTTTTTACCGCTGTTAAATAAATTAGCGCAATTTTTACTCAGACCTAAATCAAATATCTTTATAAAAAATTACAGATATTATGATGATGTGATATCCATAGTTTGTGTATAGTAAACTTTGGAGGAAGTAGGAAAGACTAGAATATTTTAAGAATAAACCAAATCCTTCAATACCTAAACTTGCAACTTCAGAAATTGGCTAATTTACAATGAGGGCAAGAAATTTTAATCTAAATTTTTTGTTATCATACAGCCACATTAATGTGAAAATAAATTTCCAACATTTCAGAGACAGTCTTACTGAAATCAGAGAAATCATCAATGCATAATATGATATTATCGGCGAGATTTACTAACCAATGCACGAAAGGCAAGCCAACACGAGTATAGGTTCCATAATGTGTACAGTCATCATCACCAGTATTGGAACAGTACATGGGACGATGACCAAACATCACGATCCACGGGCGGACATCACGATTTTCAGGTTTTGTGGCTTCCTGGATTAAAGAAACATACGGTCATTACCATAAATTTTCCAAAATAGGTTGGGACATGGGGACTCTATGCCCACAGATGGTAGGATAATATTATTAAACTGGTTAATACAGAAATGTGATTCGAAGGTGTTGATTGGATTCATTTGGCTCGTGGGCTCTTCTGACCATGGTTATGACCTGTCAGATTCTGTGTAATGTGCAGGAATTTTCTTGACCATATGAGCAAATATGAAAATCTCAAGGGGCGTCTAAAGATGGCATTCTGTCTTGTGTGCATATACTTACAGGGTTTCTTTTTGTAAATAAAAAATGAGAAAATTCAAACTTTGATTTTCAATACAAACCTTGAGGTCCTTCTCCAGCCATTCATACTGTTTAGTCACAAGTTTCAAACCATATTCCAAGAAGTAATACACTTCAGTAGATACAGAAATAAAGTGAACTGGGCCCATGTCGAAACTGTACCACAGACCCTCTGAGCTACCTGGCATGCTGAAACGAGCCCTGTAGTTGCTGAAATTACTGGGAAACGAACAAACAAACAAAAAATCAGATTTGAAGTTCTCACAGTGGTGAAGATGTTGATATTCTTATGGGTTGTGAAGCTATATCAACCTGTAAGTAGAGAGAAATGCTTTGGAAACAGAGACAGTATGTTTCTCTGAAATGTTGGTACCTTCCTACAAGTCCGCACAGCGTTACGACCCAGAAGACCAACGTCAACAAACAAACAAAATTAAATAAATTTTATGTAACACAGCGAAGAAGAATATAAACACTCCTATGTTTATATTGAAGTGATTAACCTAAAATCAGTAGTGATATAATATAGCAGTGATGAATCAACTACTTCTGATGGCAAATGAGTGGTGGAAAGGTACGACAAGAAAATACAACACCATAAGCCTTTTAAAGAAGTAAATAATAGTGGATTACTCACTATGCTTCTTCGTGATTTCCAGGACATGTCATGTAAGGAACATACGCTGCTATTGGCTGTATCTGTTTCATGAATTCATCTCCAACACGACCACTCTCCTGTAAAGACATTTGTGGGTGCAGTTTAATTTAGAATCACTCTTCATGTTACGAATGCAGTTTTATGTAAAATGGAATAAATTCTTCATAATTAGTGATCAATCAGAAGGAAATATTCACTTTCATCTCAAGTATAGAAACATTAATCCTCATTAATTTCAATAATATGTATTAAAATGTCTAATCAAAATAAAGGAATAAAATTTTCCTTACAGAGTCCATGTCATATGCAAAATCGCCAACATGTAAGATGGCATCGTACATTCCACGTTGAACTTCCTCCTGAAGATGTGGTAATGACTTTGCATTTTCATTACCCAAATCACCAAATATTGCCAACTGAGGACTCCACGTAGATTCGTCCGGTGACGTTATAAACCAAAACATATCTGACCAGCCCTGGTCACTGCCGCAATGGTAAACTGTAATATTACACAAGACCAGATGATAAGGTAATTTGTATGTAGGCTGAATCGAAAACACATGTGGCATATGTAAATATTTCTGTAATACTTTCATTTTTATTCATTACAACTTAAGAAAACTACTTGAGAACTGTTTGAAAAAAAGCAGATTTCAATCACAACCCACTTACCTAATCTCTATTTTCCGTGTTAAAATATGTATAGAATCTGACAAGCAATAGTTGACACAAATATCGCCAAGGAAAATAATGTTCATTCACGGCACGAAATTTAACTTGCAATCTCTACAAATAAAATGTAGGCACAGAAAACCACGACCAAGTGGTTAACACTTGTTTCTTATTCGAGAGATCCTGAATTAGAAATCCTGGCTTGGAGACCGGCTATCCCGACTGATATCCGTATGGTCTTCCTCACCCTCTACAGGCAAATGTTAGCGTAATACTTTAGGTTAGGCCATAACTGCTTCCTTCCACATCCTTTCAAATTCATTAATGATTAATCATCCTACAATTTGACATTTTGTTATCTGAGCTACTGACATATTAAATTGTTTCAATTACAAGAAAATTCTTAGAACTGTTTTTAAAATGCAAATAGTAACTGAACTGCAATGCTAAAACAAAGAATCATTAAACAGTATATACAGTTCAGTACTGAAAGGTGAAATCATAATTGCATAACAAACATCACATATTATTTTTGTAAGAAAATGGTATGGACTTTAAATGAATATTACTGTAAATCATAAAAGTTACCAGAATGATAGTAATGAACGCTCTCACACTTCAAGCTGTGCTAACCTAAATAACAGCTGAATATAAATAATGCCTTACCATATTTGCTACCTGATGTCAACTGAGGCAGACTCACTCTATGAATATACTGACTCCTAGTTCCATTTTCAGAACTGACGAACAATGTCGACTTCCCTGTCGCTCGTTTGATTAGTCCACCGATTCCGTATTCAACCAATGATTCATTGGACTGATTTGTTGTACTCCACGTTACAACAATTTCATATGAATTACCTGCATAAAATTTTGGAAATTAATTGATTTTTCATTGTTAAGAACAATCTCACAGCAATTATCCATTCCAGTGTTAATTTCAATTTAAACTTAAAGGACAAATTCCCTAAGTAGATAAAACATTGTTTAGGAAATATATTATCCCACCATGGCAATGAGACGGTGGATTCAGAAAGGACCTCTGAAACATCAGTGAACTTCTACCAGACTACACGGCGCTACAACCCAGAAGGCAGTTATCTTCGTACTCACCGCAGTGGAAAAGTCAAATCATACTTAGATGCATATACCTTCAATACAGGTACATAAAGTGACAAATTAATATTATTAGATATTTTCAAATTTATTTTTGCTACATGGAAAACCTTTTTATTTAATATTTATTTTCTACAATGCACCATTCAGGAAACATGTAGCCTGTGTTTAAAATGGTTTCAGAAATTTATGACCTCTTGACACAAAACAAAGTATGTACAATGTTTACCTCCAAATGCAAGATGGACTTGCTCTGGTTGATAAGACACATAGCCCCAAACCAGGTGAACATAACCTAGTATCACAACGAAAGGTAGAAACATTGTTAACCTGAAAATAAAAATACAATTGATTGGAAAGTGTTTCTAAATTAAATCTTCAAAGAGAATCATAGACAAAGAACATTGTAAAAATTTATAATTACAGTGACAATACTCATAAAGACCCTTGACATATTGTTAGGTTATGATTAACCCTCAAAAGATCCCAACAGAGACCTGTATTTCTCAGTACTGAATTATGTTTTAGACACAACAACTGCAAGGACTCCTACACCAAATTTAATGTGAAGATGATAATTTAGCAAGGACCTTCTCATTATTAAAACTTGTAACTTCTCAGCAATCAAAAAATGGTGACCTACCATAAAACACTTAATAGATCTTTCACAGTTTCTTATCTGTGTCAGTCATTTGTATTGGATGTGTTCAGATGTTGAGAGGTCTAGGATAGGAGTAGTGGAGCGGTAAAGCACCAAAGTTTGGAGATATGAAATGTAAACCTCTCCTATCAATCCGTCAGATTGAAGACCGACTTGTCCGCTGATGCAGAAATAAAACACTGCACTCTTTTAACCACTTGCCATAACTGGGGGATAGAATGTCATGCTGAATGCAGGAGTTTCTGTGTTCAAGAGTCAGCCCAGATACTGGCTGTCATGACTTTTTCAGGTTTATCCGCAGACCCTCCTGGCAAGTGCTGGGATAGTTCTTTCCAATCCATTATTCATTTATCATCCCATCATTTGATACGATATAATTTTATCAACTGAAATCGTTAATACGGTGTGATTCAGACACAAGTTATTATTTTTTTAATCCCTTATTTTCGGTATATCATCTTAACTTTCAACTGCCATGAATTCCAAACATTTTTTTAAATCACCTTATGAATCAACAATACAATTAAATTTGGATGTTGATACAACATTGCCTACCTTGTGCTTTACGAATTTACATGTAAGTTTTATTACAAGATCTTTTTAAGTTTTATCATTTGACACTACTTACTGATTCATTTTTATATCAAAAAATCTATTTAAATTGTGCAATATTTCCTAGAATACAATAACATTTATCATAGGCCTGAAAACAAAAATACGCAACACGTCACATTTGATTAAATTACAAAGACAAAACAAAATTGTATTTGGTTAAAAATTAATCAGAAATCATGATCAGTAAGCAAGAAATCAAAATTAATTAAATATCATATTATGCTCTGGGTTTTCCCCTCGTTATTACACCTTATGATTTAAAGGAGATGGAACAGCATCTTAATAATTACAGTCACAATTTGGCAATTTTGTGCTAACACTTCAAAATTAACAACGTTACACAGAACATCATTTCTCACAATATTGCTTTAAATCCAGGTAAATACAAAAACACGAACAACACTCACATTAGCAGCTGATGTGAAGACGCAATACACCCTACACCTTATCAGCTGGGAAGTGATTCACTGTCATATACACACCAAATGGTAAAAGCGTATAAGAATCATCTCACAACAATTGAAATGTAAGTTATAATATTTCATCACAAGGTGACCTAAACATGTACAAGACGCGTGAAATGAGTTCAGAAGATGAAGGAAAAAGATAAAAAATTTCTTAGCTTCCGCAATTTAGTTTTGTATTTTCAGGAAACAATGCGTTATGTCATTTTTGCATTATTACATGTTTAGCTACTCTTGCCATCTCGCAGCAATGTATGAAGCTACAAGAGCCCAACATCAGTGGATCGGTTGGTGAGTGGGGATAAAGGAATTCTATAGTGTGTTAGAGGAGATGCTTGGGTTTCTTTATTTTATCGCATTTTTAAAATGACATTAAACAACAGAAATAGTATGTCATAGTTACGCTGTACGAAGCCTGTGGAATGTTTCAATAGCTTTATGTTGATACAAAACCAATGATGTATAGAATTCTCATTTTGTGGTTATGTTTTCTGCAATTGAGATTTTGTATGGTGTATGAACCAGAACAAATTCATCTGTCTTTTGGAGGTAGTGTAAAAGACCCTTTTTATTAAATCACAGTATGTATATCAGATATTTAATTGCGATTATTTTTATACACTGAAACAGCAATAACGAAAAGCTTAGGACAATATGATCCAAATTACAGGTTAGAAAACCACACTACAAGTACTTTAACCACACTTACTGAAGCAGTATGCATTTTCAGGTTTCCCATTCGTTATTTTAATGTACTTTATTTTCTTCCTATTTAAGAGGAAAACACATTTTATTTAAATAATAAATATGAAGGGTTAAGCTCAGTAGGATCATCAATCTCTCTTTGGGAAATTTGCTATGGTTGAACATTTTTAAACAGAGTGCTGAACCAAATGCTTCCTTCCACTCATTTTAAGTTCGTTTTAAGCCAAATGGCCCTCTTAGAGGGATGTCATAGATCAGTTTCATGATCCATTTTGTTTGGAAAGGATTACCATCTAAAATACTAGCAGATATTTTGTCACAAACACTTTTTACCCATTACTTTGAGAGGTAATCTAAAATATTTCTTATTAAATGATTTAGTTATATTTTGCAAAATAATGCTTGAAAATAAAATATTTCTTTCAGCTTTCAATATGCTAATAATTTAGATAAATTCTTGATTGGAATTGATATATTACAAGTGGTATGGTGCTTCAGGTGATATTTACTTCCTCTACCTGTTCCATGAAAATCAGGTATTCTAGTCTTGGTCGTAATTGTGATCTAGTCCAAATCAGATCATGAAAGTGATCAATAGTGCCCACCTGTTCATCTCTTTTCATCCTAATTACACACCAATAGTTTTTCTTTTTTCTTTATTTCTCCAGATACTGTGAATGATGTAGTTGTGACTTGGAACACAATTAATGACACGGAAGAATCTCTTGTTGAATATAGTTTTGGTGGACTTAACTTAACAGCAAATGGGACCTCTACACTGTTTGTAAGTGGTGGGAAAGAGAAAAGAAAACAGTACATCCACAGAGTAAAATTACCCAACTTGGCACGTGGAATAAAATACAGTAAGTCGCCTTATCTCAAACTTATTATTGTAAATATTTCCTTCTTTTAATAACTTTTTAGTTGATGTTGATATGAAAAGGGCATATTTATTTTTCAATGTGGTCGTAGGGTGGATTTTTCAAAACAGTTTTTCTTGAAAGAAACTCTGTCAAGAAGGAAGATTGTTGACTTGATATATGTTATGTGTGAGAGTAATTTTTATCTAAATGAAGGAGGTAAGTCATATTGGTAATAGTCATAAGAATGTATGCAAAAGATTGAATTAGTAGTCATATTTTTTAAAAATAATAGCCTGTTTAAAATAATATCAGAATATAAAGAAGATTTGTTTGGAGGACCATATAAGTCAGATAGCATTACTCTGTCAAATTTAATGTCTCTCATAGTAAGGAAAAAAATTAAACATTTATCTTTGTTTGCTAGTCTGTCATGCGTTGAATATAAATTAGATAACTGGCTCAGGTTTTAGTACTGATATTCTTACTCACACTTTATCCTCTTAATATTTTCATCTTGGAAAAAATAATGAATGCTCTAAGTGTTATTTAATAGAAAATTAATTTTCCTCTTATACATAACTTTCTCTTCTTGTATGAAAACATGTAAATTAGCCTGTGAGACGTAGTTTTCCCAAGTTAGAATAACCTATTGACGTTATTTATTCTTTAATGAAGGTGTCGAATGTAAACACTTGTTATGTGTAAAGTACAGGGGTATAATTGTGGTAATTTTGCAGCCTACCATTGTGGCAGTGGTAAGGGGTGGTCAGATAAGTTCTGGTTTAAGACACCGTCAAATGACCCTGACTGGATTCCTCACTTGGCTGTGTTTGGAGATCTGGGTAGTGAAAATGCGCGGTCAATTCCACAGCTGCAGGAAGAAGCTCAGCGTGGCATGTACGATGCTGTGTTTCACATTGGTGACTTTGCTTATGACATGAACTGGGTATGATATAATATCGGTTGATATTTCCATTCCTTTTTATCGTATCAGAGAATTCTTTGAACATTGTAATGTCAGTGAAAAATCTGATATAATATAAACGAAGTACACCAAAACTCTAAACTAATTTTTTTCTTTTAAATTAGATAGACTCTTTCACTATTGTGCAACTAGGGTTGTAACTATGTAAACATTAAGTGTCTTAAATTAAATTTATAGTTATTTGTTAAAATTTGTTGAGATATATATTTAAATGTCTGCAGATGTACAGTACTTATGGTTTTAAAATATGTATGATATGTGAATATGTAAGAAGTAAAAATATTTTTGTGTTGTTAGACACATTTTCCTATTAAGGGAGGAAACGACATGTCTAAGTTCTTGCATAAATGTTACATTAAAACTCAGTCTCCGTCTTGTTTAAATATGCCCCATTATATCTAGATAACTACATTTTAATACATAAAGTATGGCAACAGACATCTAATTTTACTATGGTTTACTGCATTATATACAGCAAAGTGTTAAGTTAGCTGATGGAGAGTGGTTACCAGGGTTTTTCACTTTGCAGGAGAGTGGTCGTGTTGGGGATGACTTTATGAATAAAATTGAGCCAGTTGCTGCTTATGTTCCTTACATGACAAGTCCTGGAAATCATGAAGAAGCATAGTAAGTCTATACTAGTTGTAAGACGTAACTTTTATGACTTTCAAAACACGAGGGTTTTTTTTTATTTAGGTGAAATTCTGCTCTTCATTCTTTTAAATTTACTGTATAACAGTACTTTATCATAATCTGTGGACGTCGTAACGTGGCTTAGTAGTCACAGTGGTAAGGTTTTATCATACTTTTTATTTACATATACATTTTTGATATTTGTCATTTGTGGATGAATAAAATTTGATTCTCATATAAACTTTGTTATAAACATAATAATTTTTAAAAGAAATTCCAGTCAGTCATTCTTTTTAAGAGATGTTTTGGGTGTGATGCTGACCGATTACCCCCATCTAGTGCTAAAGTTAAGAATGAGTAGGAGCTATACCTCCTCTCCCCCCAAGTGCCTACTTGGCGAATAGTGGGACAGCTTTACTTTTTAATACCCCTCCTACCATGTACATAACAAGCTAATAAATTTCATTACAATTGCTCTCTCAGTGTACATTTATTGCAATTCACTTATATTCCAGTAACTTCAGTGATTACAAAGCCCGTTTCACGATGCCAGGCAATACGGAGGGTCTGTGGTACAGCTTCAACATGGGCCCAGTGCATTTTATATGTGTTTCAACTGAGGTGTATTACTTTCTGGATTATGGTCTCAAACTACTTACAAATCAGTATGTCTGGCTTGAACGTGACCTTGAGGTACACAGAACAGTAACATACAAGCTATTAACGTGAATCACAATTCTCCTTTGTCATCCATTCCAGTACACAAATTATTATAATTATCTAAGACATAATTGCTGGAAGGATGATACAGAAATATTAGTTTTATTACTACTCAAAATAATACAGACAGAAAAGTTGAGTTATTCGTGCATAGTTGACGTATTTCTTTATTCAAACGTGCAGATATTTGTGAGAGCCACAATTATAAAATTATGTGAACAGATTTTTCAAGCTTTTCTCTAATTCCCCTGTCATTAAGCCACTAGATTTAGCAGTAATACTTGGAAATAATAAAATATTGTCCTTAACCATGACTGTTAACATGGCTTTAAAAGAATTCTTTATGTTTAATTGTTATAGCAGTATCACAAACATAACAACGTGCACAGTGGCATTAGTTCAGATTTTGGCTGTCACTGTCCAGTCGTCGAGAGAGTCTCATCATTGTATTCAAGCGAGTTTTACGCTGTGTGTGAGACCATTATGGTTCTATTGCGAGCAATACAAAATCAAGATGGCCTACTCTAACCTAACCTAACCCAACCCAACCCAACCCAACCAAACCTAACCTAACACATCCTAACCCAACCTAACCTCACTCTACCTGATTTTTCTTTCCTTGTCACCAGCCACATGACTGGGATTAGGCAGGCAAAGTAATTTTTATGTTTGTGATACTATTATAATGCATTTGTTATTGTACTGATAAGATTTCAAGAATTCAAATTTATTTTGTGTGCCATTGTTGCAGGAAGCCACGAGCTCAGAGAATCGCACTGTACGACCGTGGATCATAATACTGGGACACAGGCCCATGTATTGTTCAAATAATAACTCTGATGATTGTACCAATCATGAGACATGGACTCGAGTTGGTATACCTTTCTTACATTGGTTAGTAAATTGTAACAATATGATTAATATCTATTAATATTTATTTTGTTTCAAATAAGACGATGCTGGAGAATGGAATACTTATGAGAATGAAGGTAAGGAAAATAGAAACACAAAACTTGTAAATTTTATTGTGACAGAGAATTTCTTCACGTATATAAAGTGTCTTTATCTGTAATTAATCACTTAACAGAATTATGACTCAGAGATACACACTTCATTATTACTTATTTAATGTCACTTGGACATAGCTTCTTGACATCGAGTGTTAATTTCAGGTTTGGGATGGAGCGACTTCTTTACGAGTACGGTGTTGACCTAGTCATCTGGGCTCATGAACATTCTTATGAACGTCTGTGGCCATTGTATGACTATAAAGTTCAGAATGGAAGCTACGCAGAACCATATCGCAATCCCCGAGCACCTGTCCACCTTATAACAGGCTCAGCGGTAACTCTTGTTATAATTTAAAATGTACGGTCGTTGTGGTCTGGGAGTGGGTTTAAATTCACTTTGCTCATGACCAAAGTATGTCACATTGTAATCCCACATACTGTGTCTTTCCTTGATATACTCTGACTTTAGTATGTACTGAAAACTCACTAAATTTTGAGACAGCATTATCAAATTTTTAATCTCTACTTACTGTGCTAATATGTAATTTGAAATGTTTGAACATTTCTGTAGTATAATCTTTAACCCTTTGCAGTCACATTTCAGAGACTGGCCCGACAAGGTATTTGTGATGTGTAATGCATTTGAATCTGCCGCTGCTTACGTGATATATTATTCAGTCATGCTGTAGCGTCTTGGCATCAGTAGATAAGAGATTAATACATCAATATTGAAAACAGTTTTTTTACAGTAATGTTTCATTTCCATGAACAGGGTTGCCGTGAGTTTCATGATTTCTTTGATGAAGAACAACCTGAGTGGTCAGCATTCCGTTCCCTTGATTATGGTTACATGCGTTTGCGCGTTCACAATGCGTCTCATTTGTACACAGAACAAGTAGCAGTTGACAAGGTAAGAAAATTTAAACATTACTATTTTTATTTATTTATTTAGTGTTCTGTCTGACGACAGGTCCATATGAACAGGATCCTTCCATCCTTTTCTCGGACTGGGACCTGTTCATATACGTTCTTGGCAGATGATCCAGAAGTGGTTTGCCATTGCCTTCTTCTGTGTGTGAATGGAGTAATTGTTGGGATGCTACAGAGAAACCGGGGAAGCCCCCGGAGGAAAACTCCGTGTTGCCTAGACCACGGCCTTGCCCAACACAAGTTATAAATTCGGGCACCGCCGGGAAACGAACCCGAGACCCCAGGATTACAAGACCAGCGTACAGAATAGTAATGTAAATATAACCAGAGTATGGCTTAAGGAAAGATGAGTAAAAAGATAATTTCTGTAAGGCAGGAAATCAAACTCGTCTTCTTAAAATGGGAAAAGATTCAGTGGAAGATGTTTTTTCTCCCGACTTTCTTAAAAATAGTGAAAAGTAGGCTTAACTGTGTTTTATTTTAATGTTTATAGGAGGGTGAAGTGATCGATCATGTGTGGATTATTAGGGAGAATCACGGACCATATGGACAAGAATAATTACTTGCGTCTTTTATGCAAGTCAGCCTTGCAGAATAGAGGATGCTGATAAACAGGATATATCATTTCAGTGGTGTAATGAGGGCTTCAAGGTGAGTTGTATGTCTTTGCATTTTATATACGTTATTGGCCGGACTCGGCATTTATCATTCACTTTTTAAGATTATATTAACTGTACTGAGTAATCTAGTTTGAGAAGAGCTGTCATTACACTTTTCACGAAGACAATGTATTTCTGCATAGGGAAACAACTTGGTGGGGAGTCTGCGTGTGTGGGGAATCCCCAGGCAGGCTACTTTGTTAACTTTTGAGAATAAAAGCACGGTTGTGAAACATAAAAGCAAGAGAATGCATAGGAATGACAGCTCTTGAAACTAGTCTTGCCTTAGACTGTAAGTTTAGGATCCAGGCGTAAGATTACAAACGTTAACAGCAATTTTGCCAAAATAATAAAAAAATAACTGGATACCTTCAATACGTGCCATGCTACATGTTGATGATGATGATACTAAAAGTTGTTATATCACTAAATTAGTGTAAATTCAAATTCTCAGTTCAGTGACCTGTCAGTGAACACAATATCACATGCCAGTAATTTACTGTCACGGAATTAAGACCTTGAATTAGATGTCGGCATTCATCTTCTGGTATATATAATGCCCCGTAAACTTATAGCTACTTCCCCTGAAGACAAAAGCAGTATGTTCCACCAAAACATTAACATCCACATGGCATTATGACCCAGAAGACCAACATCGACATAATCACCAGAGTGAGAATCTCGTATCTCATTCTTAAATTGGAAGAAGGAAGTCAAGTCTGATTATCATAAAATTAATGCTTTAGAATATATGTGGTCTGTGTTAATTCTATTTTAATATATATTCAGTGACAGTCCATGACATTTTTATACATTTTATAAAAATAGTAAGCGTTGTGATATGAAAAATGCCTTAAAACATTAATAGAGTATTTTTGCTCTTGGTGATATGATAATAACAATATTTTTCATACATGAATATATTTTTATAAAATTTGTTGCATTATATGTATACCTGTATCTTCCATGGATTTTGTTTTAGTGGTTTAATGAATTATATTTTTATTTTCGAGGGAGGTTATATTTTTGTTGACATTCTATATAAAGAAAAGAAACATGATTCATATATATTTTTTGTATTTATACTAACAAACGGATACCCTAGTATCATGAGCGACTAAAACAGATGAAAAAGAATTGTGCATGGATTAAGAAAAGGCTAAAAATTGAAATGGCATTTTCATTCATGCTTCAGACATTGCCAGTAAGAGGCATCTGTTTTTTCTACATTGTCTTTTTTGAGCACTTCAGTTACTTTAAATGCTGAATTGTTTTCGTGCCTGTCAAGTTTCTCTGTAAAAAATATATCATGATTGAGTATGCTGTGTGTGAACGTTGTTAAAAGTGGTATATAATAAATTCATATATATAATAATTTAGTTACTATAGTTATAAGGTAATCCGCCACGGTGGTCTAGCGGTTAGAACGCTGGCCTTGTAATCCTGGGGTCTCGGGTTCGATTCCCGGCGGTGCCCGAATTTATAACTTGTGTTGGGCAAGGCCGTGGTCTAGGCAACACGGAGTTTTCCTCCGGGGGCTTCCCCGGTTTCTCCGTGGCATCCCAACAATTACTCCATTCACACACAGAAGAAGGCAATGGCAAACCACTTCTGGATCATCTGCCAAGAACGTATATGAACAGGTCTCAGTCCGAGAAAAGGATGGAAGGATCCTGTTCATATGGACCTGTCGTCAGACAGAAAACTAAATAATAAGTTATAAGGTAATCCTCAACTATTAAGACATTTTCCAGTGTTGGGTTTGCTTCCATTCTGGTCAAAAAATTCATATATATAATAATTTAGTTACTATGGTATACTATATATTTTCCAGTGTTGGATTTGCTTCCATTCTGGTCAAAAATGTAATCGTACATGGCCAGATAAAATGTTTTTGATTCTCACCCCTCGCATTTAACATAAGCGCGTTCAGATCGACTGAATCAGAAGATACGCACTGGTTTGACTTCACCGTGACCCTGTCTTAACGATGAAATTTTTCTTTTAGCAACACATGTTCTGTTGAGAGCTCTGTGTGATGATCTCTGGAGACACTTTCGTTCTTGACAGCTAACCGCGTGCCTCTGGAAATTTAGTAATAATACGTGGTCACCACCACTGGGTCCAACTATGTAATCACACAGATGGATCTCATCTTGGATGCAGCATTCTAGGTATTCGGGATGTAAAGTAAAATATTGATGTATATCCTGGTGAGAGATACCCACAACTTGCGCTAGAAGTCCCGTGACATACGTGTCATCGATCCAGAAGTAACGGACAGTTTTTGAGGCTTCGACCAAGGTCTTCGAATCTTTTGGTGTTGTTATATACAACCAACCAGAGAGGAATGGTGGATACGTTGGCCCAGGAAATTCTGATTGTGTAACAAACCACTTACTTGCATGTTCCCGAATTGGCCGAATTCCTTTTAATAGGTAACCCATTAACAATGGCCTTTGATCACGTACAATTGAATTCATTATACTTAGAAGTCTGTACAAGTCAACAACAATATCATCATCTATTTTGATGACATACTGAGCTTGCTGGCAGTACATTGTTACCCACTGAAGACCCATCATATGTTTGTATGTTAAATTACGGTAGGCTTCATTGAAGTTTCCTTGGACCAAATCAGAATATCGACGATTTTCATCCACTAAAGCATTCTGAGACACTGAATTATATCGAATGTCATGTTTAGGATTAGAAACAGCTAGGAGAAAAACACGATATATACCCAACCGTTTCAGTTCATCTGCAGGGTAAGCACGTCTCACTGCACTACGAGCCTCAATGTCACCAGCATGTGAGGTAATTATAAGTATAGCAAAAATGGTAGTGGTGGACAAGCAGACATCATTATTTATGATGTACTGGAAATGTGGTAGGTCCAGCAACTCCATACTTGTTGGAAACAATTCATTATCAGCTACTGGAAGTGGTTTCTGGAGTTTTGGTAATGGAAATGTGGTACTGTCGAATAATAAACTCAAGAAAACTGTCAAACTAACACCGCAGATTAACAAAAAAAGAATCACTGTATTGTGAAACAAACCCATTTGTTTCCCCAGTAGTAGATAATCACATTTTTCACACATGTAAAAAAACTGCAGCTTTGAAAGAAGGGTGCAAACTTTATGGTTGTTTAATTTGAATAGACTGTATCTTGTACTTGTAGGTCATTCTTGAATTCTGAGTATTCCATTAAATAAAACGTAATCCAAACTTACACAGTTATAAACTAGTCTCGCTAAATGAGGCTTTTTCGGTTTCTGTGCACGTATAAGATAGCGTGAAATTCAAACAATTATTCTGTTCTTCACCTCTACCGTGTGCTAAACAGTGACAATTTTCTGCGTGTGAGGACGGACGAGAAAGGACTGGTTCATGTGTAAATTAGTTACATGAGACGTGCATAATGAGGCAACGCCTATTTCTCCTTCAAGGTAAACCAGTAACGTTCACTTGAAACATGTAGAGATTTTGTCTGTGTTAGACTGAACATTTTCGCTTTCCGACATAGAATCCAAGTTTTATGTGTTTTTTACTGTAAACAAGATCAAATGCTTTATTAATTATAATTACATTGCAATTGAAAATTATGTTTCGGGGGCAATGACTATTCTAATCACAGATGACCGAACTCCCATTCACAACTGTAGTCACGGTGTTCGAAATGTTACTGAGGTAATGTAACAGGTGTAGCATATATAAGTAATCAATTGTTTTGCTTCTTCTGATGTACGTTTTTATTGCAGTAAAAAATTCGTGAAACTACATTTCTTTATAATGTAAGACTTGAGGTTCTCACAGCGGTGAGTATGAAGATATCCGTCTTCTGGGTTACACAGCGCAATAACCCAGAAGACGGATATCTACATTTCTTTACATAAGTGACATGTTATAAAATAATTCCAGCCTAGGTTTCGTTTGTGGTGTCTATTTGCGTGTCCCAGTATATCATATTACACTAGCATTCTTATCCAGAGATTATTCCAACATGTCATATCTACCGTGGATAACCCATATGGTGCGCTGACATCACTAGTAAGAATTAATCAAGTGACGTGTGCTGAGCTCTAGCGTGCATTAATGTAAAATAAATATCAGCTGTGTGACATTTTATTCAATGGAATGTTGGTGTTGTGTATATCTTCACCGGTCTGATTTTCAGAAGATTTCAGTTGTCTTGTTACTTAAATATTTCTGAACGATAGGGTAGAGACCGAGCTCTGAGCTAAAATACGTAAAGGTATTTTTTTATGCATATTAACAAATGTTTTATCTTTGCGATAAGTAGGCTATCGTGAATGACATGTTACAGAAGGGAAGAATTTTTTATGTTATGTTTACGATTTACGGACACGAATCCCACATATTGTTTAATTGTGCATATGCTTAAAAAGGAGTGAAACGTTCCTGATATATCGATGTCTTCCATGATGAGAATAGAAATAACATTCGAAGATGGCTGTCTTCTGGGTTGTAGCGCCTTGTAGTCTGGGAGAAGTACGAGCGTTTCGGAGGTCCTTGCTTCCTCCATCATCACATTGATGAGCCATCTTCGGACTTACCGTTGTGAAAACCTCACATCCTATTTAGAAATAATTTTTTTTTCAGCAAAAATCAGCATTTTGCTGGTTCCTGCTTGTTAGCATCACTAGGTAGACTGAAATTTCGATGGAGCGTGTTTTCCAAGCAGTACCAGCAGACCTTCGTATGAAGATGGAAGCTCTGGTCCAAGATCTGACCAACGCACTGGAGGAATCTTCACGTTTGTCATCTCGTCGGCGATGGGGTCTTCGGAGACGTGCCCGATCTACAGGGAACCTTCGTAAGGCGTGAATTAATTTGTTTACTGGCATACTGTTTTAGAATTAAGCTATTCAACTCTATCCCCCCTCCCCCTCGGATTATAAAGTCAGAATCACGATATAAAGAAGTTGAAGCCAGCACTAAAATAGTATTTCCTATCTCACTCCTACTCCATAAAAGAATTTACCACAACCAGAAATTTTCAGCTATTATACATTTAAGGAATTGTGGTTATGCTGTCTTGTGTAATAATTTTTGTGGTAATACTGTAGTTGACTCTAAGCTACTGTCATAACAATGTAATTTATGTTTGTATTAGAAACAAGTATTGTTTTTGTTCAATGACATATTCTATATCCTTTGCTTAGGCCTATGAACGATCTATGGAATGTAAATAAATTTGTTCTGTGTAGAAAAACTAAACTCTGAATGAAAACAAATGTTATGCCCATTACTTACATCTGTTACTTTTACAAAATTATTCTTGGTTCTATTTTATTTTTCCTCATGCACTCTACTGTTTTAGGCACATTTTCCGATGTCCATTTAAAGTACGTGTAGTCTTCCATCTTGTTTATGCATCTGTTATTAGTTGGTGTGCGCACACGATCATTAAAACAAAGAAATACAAGTTGATACCTTTAACCTCACTTTGAATGTTAATAAATATAAAAAAAATAGGTTAGTAATATTTATGTAGCCAGTATGAGAAACTGAGTGATACTGCTTCAGAATGACATCATACTTATATTGATAAATGAAAGTAATATGGATAACAATTGGGAATGATATTTACCATAACAAAGGCATCGTTTGAAAACTATAGTTAGAAATTTGCCCTATACAAAATGTTTCTTTGAAATTTTGAAATTTTTTAATTTATGAAGTTTTGATATTATTTAAAAAAAATTTCTGCCAGTTGTGTCTGATACCAGTTTATTGTATTTTTGTGAGTTGTGTGTTACTTTTATTATTGTGATGGTGTTTTTTCTGCTTTTCTTATCTGATGGGATTGGTGGCATAAAGTTAATCGAATCTAATCTGCGAGACAAAATTCTCTTCCATTCGTATATTATTTATTTTAATTTAATATTTGTTTCTTCAGTGTTTATAATTATATGTCATTGATATAATATGTTTTATGGCTTTATTTTTGAGGTTAGAATAACATATAAAATATCTATTTGCGTTACTGTACGCTTTTTCAGCTGCAGCCTATCATAAAACCTTGAGCGATGATTCCAGCAGTAGCATAGGAGAACTAATGCTTTCCCGTGATAAAGGCCTCTCTAGCTTACATCAGGTATTAGTTTTTCATATTAATATTATGTAGATGCTTTGATTCAAAGTTTAATTGCGTAAGTACAGAATATTCGGAGCTAACAAGTTTAAATTCCTTACAGAGTGATTCGGACGATGTGACGTCAACGGGTGTCTACCGTCAGCTTGCGCCACTGACTCGTAAAACTCGCCCGGTTATTCATCTTCATGGAAATATTGAATCAGATTCATTCAATGAGAATTTTTCACCAGTTCACCCTAACACACGGAGGTATTTTTAAGAAGTCTACATGAATGAATTTATAAGATTAAGACATTTAGTCCGTTCCTTACATCCTCTTAATCCGTCTTCCTAAGTTCCATTTTAATGTTATCTTCCCAGCTTCTCAGTTTTCCAAGTGAACGTTCTCCAAGAGGTTTCCTCATCAAATTGTGTACGCATTTCTGTTTCATAAAAGCAATAATGTAAACTACCTTAAAGAAAATGCGTCTTTTTTTTATTTTTAACATATTTGCAACAGGAAACGTAAATTCAAGCGAATGGCAGTGGATCCAGTAGAATTAGACAATCCTTCCACATCACATGCTGCAGTACCTGTAATACCATTACCCAGCGGAAAAAAGAAGCGAGTCGTGAAACATTCACCCAACTGTGAAAACAAGTAAGCCAAATTTATTTTAATTTAATTAAGATTTAGAATAAAATGACTTTAGATGGTGTGATAACTGTTCTTCTTGTTGGTCTCCTGGGTTGTAACGCTGTGTGTACGTACAGTGGGTAGATACCAACATCGCGAGGAACGCATCGTCTCTTTTAGTCCTGAAGATGGAGGCATGAATACCAACGTCAAGATCCTCACTATGAAAACCTCATCTCTCTTTGATCAGTGTGTTTCCGTCTACAGTTTTGCATGTGAGAGTCATGTGCCGTATTATTCCGAAGGAGCGAAAGTTTTTATCCCGTACGCATTATCCCATTAAGGTACAGCAATCTTCTGTGTGGAAAAAGGAAGCGTAGTACACGAGAGAGAAGTGTCGACTGCGAAAGACCCTCTGCGGGTGGTAGATCCAAAACTTCGCGGATTCTTGCCATTCACAAGATGAGTCTGAGTAGTACAGATGAGAGTCACATGGATTTTGATTCTGCTTCAGCCACCCACTGGTAAGCATAATTACAAAGATTAGCAAAATGTTTATGAAATAATAGAGAAATTTTTGTAGTACTTGTTGGTTATCGGGACACAAAACGGGAGAGTCGAATATCTGGACTTGGATTGGACGGAAAACTGCGCACGCGTATCAGTATACCCGTATACTCGGTTGTTGTTATCTGTTAGTTTGTTCAGTTATTTATTGCTGTTTGGTACCGTGATAAAAATTTGGGATTCACCTAACAGTGAGTGTACAAATGATAACGGTGATATTTTTAAAATAATTCTAAAATCTATAAGCGAATTTTGGCCTCTGGAGACAGGTTGTAATAACAGTTAACATCTCATGCATATGAAAATAAAATATAATAATTTGTCATTTATTGAAATAAAATATAATAACTTTCAAGTATATGTCATTTAT